CTTGGAGAATCGTTCCGCAAAATCGGAGGGCAGATTTGGATTCGGCGGCTCAAGACACGTCCATATTTATACATCTCACTGCAAATGGCCGGATCGACCTGTTGGGGTTCCCTTGTCAGTCGTCCTTTGATAGAAACTTCCCGAGCTTCTATGAGGAGGTAATGTAAGAAGTGTGTGGGCGTTGGCAGCATGTCGTGGACATCAGGGAGGGATATGCCCGTGATTGTAGCATAACAAGTGCATCATGCGTTTGCACAACTCTGTGGGTCTACTTTCACGAGTCGCAGCGGTCAAATTTGACACAATCCGCACTGTAGGTAAATTATTGTATCCATTCCAGATCACTTAGATGTTGCGCAAGGGCATCAGTTTCTGAAAATCCGACTGTCGTTGAAGTGACAGTTTTTTTCGAGTTCACCCGGAAACGTCCGGAAAGTTCTAAGAACTTTTAATGAAGACAGCGTTCAGACTTCGTGATGGCGCGTCAAAGCGTTGTAGCGCGCAATGAAACGCCACATTTGAAACGGCGTCTCAATGCTATAGACGCGAACGCAGTCGCAGAAGGGAATCGATCAGCCCTGGCTGCTTCATTTTGAGAGAGTATAAGGTAACAAGAGGGTAGTCGGTGCCTTCACACAGTATTGTATCCTATTCCTTTATACTCTCCCAAGGCACTAGCAGCCAGTGCCCATCGACACCAGACTGGGCGATTAGGCAATGCTACTCTCCTACTCCCATACTCTCTCGGAACACAAGCGGCTGGCGTCGATCAGTTCCAGTGTGCTGTTGGATTGGAATGTGCTGCAGTCATGGCGCGTCGACGCGCGTCATAGCGATGTTTGAACGCTACCTGAAGGCACGATCCGCGGTTGGAAGCCTACGTAATGGTCTTGAAATATGGAAACGAAGTTGCAGCGGGCTTGCAAGTGAAGAGAAAATACAAAAGGGAATTGTCGGGACGCCTGTTGTAGGGGGCCTCCTGCAGAATCGCAAATCGGGGAATCGTATGCATCCGTGGCGAAAAGACCGCGTGTTGAGGCGATTCCAGTCAGCTGATTCCTGATAATGACACCTACTACCACACAAACGTCAATGGAACTTGCATTTAATGCTACCCGTCACAGCACCGTTTCTTGTTGGGGCAGGCTTTGAAAGCCCGGGCCCAGTTAGGTCACCAAAAAGAAGGATGTATTACTGTTTCTAGCTTTGTGCCTTGAGCCTATATTTACAATTTTCTCCTAGTAAAACTAACCCAAAAACTAGGAGAGAAAAACTGAAACCGGAGAAAACAAGGTGGTCCACCGTGGACGACCCACCTCTCACACGCAATCTTTCACATTTTTGGACCGTTCCTCCGAAAAAAAACTGTAAATTCATCTTCGATTCATGTGCATGGTGAATGGGTACGCAGCTGTAGAAGCGTGCCACTTTCTCTGCTTGGAAACGTACGAGGACTGAGCTGGAGGGTGATACCCGTGTGCCGTCCCTCGACTCTTCCAGCGCTGCCTAATGGCCAGCCACACGCCTGACCGAACCCAGACATTCTACTTAATTGCCCTCTCTCACTTCTACCTGTGCTCTACCGTTGAATGCGTTTGTTGTGGGATTTCGGTGTCAACGCGAGTGCTGCACACTGAGGATAGCGCGAGCGCGATCGGGGACCCATCGGTATCACTCTTTCAGCCTCGTTCCCCTGCACTTTTGGGTGGCAAAAGTGGCACCCTACTGGAGCTGCGGACCTATCCAACTCGCAAGAATAAAAGTCCGACCTGACAAGGAGGTCTTTCAGGTCGTGGCGCGCTTTTCAGAAATGGTTTGTTGCATGTTGTAGGGGTCCATATAAGGATCACAAAAATGGGTTTCGTTTTTGCTATGCGCTTCTGGGGAGGTCAAAAAATGGGTGAAAAGTTTGCTGGGGAAAAGCGATTTTGAACCATTTTCTAGGCTTTTTTTTCTATCTCTAATGTTGAGTATGCACAGCAAATGAGACCTTCGTCGACACTGCATCGAAAACAATACAAGTCAAGGTGAAAAAGTACTTTATTTGGCACATAGTGAGGCAGCATTGTAGTTTCTCAAGTGATTCTCGCAGCATCCCAACCCGCAGTTAGGGGGGGGGGGGGGTATTCAGAGCCATGTTGGCGCCAAATGACCTAGGCGCCAGTTATAAAGGTCAGAACCGGATCAGTCTGCCCTCAGTAACCCCTTATTATACAGTACTTTTCTATGCGAAAATATTTTTCTCTCGAGTAAGCGCTAACAGCCCATGCGTGCGCCTGGTGCTATACCAAGTTTCTAGTTGAATTGAATGCCTTGAGCAGATCTGGCTATTTATGGCGGCGGGTGTGCCTTGTTGGTTCAAAATAGTTGTCGTATTCTTCGGTGGTAGGAGTTCCAATCATCTCGCGAGGCCCCACACTTTCGAGCTAAGAGTTTTGGCTCGAAGTAATGTTTCGAGAGCGCAATAGTTACGTAGGGTCGACTCGTGAAACTATGAGTGTACAGAATGAGGTCTCTTAAATGGCATATATCCATGTTATATACATCACCACGCACGCAGGAACACAAGGAGACAGAAATCCGAAAAACGCATAAAGTATCCGAAAAATGCAAAAAATCCGGCGCCAAGAGGATCCGATCCGCAAACCTTCTCCGTAAGAGCCGACCGCACTATCCACTCCGCCATCCGCCGACCACGGAACACTGGTTGCGGGAGTCGTTGAAGTAACTTCGGTACTACTTTTCTCCATGCACTTTCTTTTTGACTTTATTTTGCTCTCTTTTCGATACATAGTGAAGGAACACCTCATAAACTAAGCACTCTCAAAGTTACAGCTACAACAGAGCCCAATAAGACGGTTAAAATCGCCCTTTCTTGTCAAATTGTTTTCACTCAGTTTTTGACCTCCCCAGAAACGCATAGCAAAAATGAAACCCATTTTTGTAATCCTTGTATGGACCCCTACAACAAGCAACAAACCATTTTTGAAAAGCGCGCCACGACCTGAAAGACCTCCCTTGTGAGAAGCGATGGTACAGTTTGTCTTCAGTCAGTCGCTTGCAAATGAGTCACACATCTTGATCCTTGTCGGAACCCGACTTGTTGTCCAAGAATATGAGCTGGCAGATTACCATGAGAACATATAGGTTTCTACATTACCGTGACTGCTTTCAGAACTCATTCACACGGTTGAGCGTTAATATATTATGTAGCATAAAAGTATACTGCAAGCGTTAACCTAAAATGTTCAGAGTGCTGCTCATAATCGACTCTTGGCTACCCAGCTGGCACAACTCCGCAAAGACTCTCAGTTCTGTGATGTAACGTTAGTCGCCGAGGTAGTGTATAAGAGGGAAGCTGGATGGTATAACATTGCGCATAAATGATAGATTTCAGGGGAAACGAATCAACGCTCATCGGCTTGTACTTGCTGCATACTCAAACTACTTCAAAGCCATGTTCACCAACGGCCTGGCTGAAAGCCACATGCGTATGTTCATAACTTGTTCTACATATTCCACTAATTTTTCCTGGTGCAGTTCATGTCATCGGAGGCTCGGCATCGCTATCACTCTTAGCCGGTTGAATCGGCACAGTACTTCAGCTCGAAATCTGTTATTCACGCAGCTTACATACTTCAT